CTAACAGCGACTTTATGGTTCTGGACGCGCGAGTTCTAACAGCGACTTTATGGTTCTGGACACGCAGATGTGACGTTTGCATTGTTTAGTTTTGCCATTTGATTATCTAGACCCAGGCTGACGCTATGATAAATCAAACGTCGGTGAAAGCTAATACGAAAATTACGCGTGAAACAAATAAAAATGTTATCTCGAGGGTTCTCTCTACCTCAGCTACATTTATCCTTTTAATTTCCTTCATATTAGCTACTTCGACGATCACAAAAGCTACTGGAAGAGCCTGCCGTCACCTGGAGTCTGCAACACTCAGCTGGCAAGGACCAAGATGACGTCCAAGCAGCTGAACAGTCTCGCCGAGGCAACGCTGAAGAACCTCGAGGCGTCGTTCGAGTCTGGCAAACTGTCCGCCGCTCTCAAGATCACCCAGGAGTTGCTCGCGCTGTCGGACGGCTTCCAGGACCCAGGTCGTTATCAGATAGCTGCCTATCACTATCTCTCCTTCATCCACGTGTCTATGGGAAGGCACGATCGGGCGGTGCGCAGCGCGTCGCGCCTCATACGCTTGTCGAAGAGCACCGAGAACGTGGCTCAGGTCTGTCGGTCGTTGGCGACCTTGGGCAAGGTGCACCTGAGCTTCGGACACTTGGACGCGGCGGCCAAGGCGTGGCAGCACCTGGCCAAAAGCTTGAGCAAGCCGATTCCCGTCGCATGGATCAGACACGAGATCGGCAGATGTTACCTGGAGACTGGCAGGTACGAGAAAGCCGTGCAGATGGGCTTCGACTGCGTGGACGCGGCGACCAAGGCCAACTCGAGCAAGTGGACCCTCAACGGAAGACTGCTGATAGGTGGGAATCTTCTTTGATCGGTTTAACATACCGAATCGCCGATTTTGATGAATATTCGACTCGTATTTTCTTCTTTTCTTTTTATCGGCAAGAAACATATTTTGTCAAAATATCTCGAAAATCACACTTTTTGACGTGGCTCGATGAAATCAGTGTTTTCTTAACGACCAGTTGACGATTAAACAATGTATTAAAAAGACTGATATTTTCGATAAGTTCTTCCAAGTGAATGGTAACAACATTTTCTATATGTTCGAACACGAATTAATTAAAAATGGAATCTTGATTCTTTTATCATAAAAAGATGTGCAAAGCAAGGTTTCATATTGGAATTCTCTGTTCATTTTCAAATGTTAAGTGTTAATATGTCTCAGTAAGAAAATTTTATTTATCAATAATAATAATATATATGGTGATATATAAAAGATAGTTGAAGACTATCGCTTGCGCGAGAGCTGAGATCGCTCTGGACAACGTTTCATCGTTTCTTTCCGCTTCAAGGGCAAAGTCTGGCGAAGCTAGGCAGGTTCGTGGAATCGCTGGAGGAGTTGCAAATCGCGGCGAAAATCACGGAGGAGGAGGGTGACACGCCGATGCTGTCCTACATCCGGCGTCTTATCGACCAGGTTGCACGCGCCGTTCGAGAATCGGTCCGATCGGTTGAGGAAGCGAAGCCGACGACCACGACATTCTCGCGGAAGAGGGAAGCGACGACGGAGCGTCCCGGCAGCAAAGGAGACGCGGACAAGATGCCCGATCTCGATCGAGCCGAGATCGTCGAGATCGAGAAGAGAAAGAAGACGAGGAAGAGAGGGAGGAGGAGAAGGAGGAGGAGAAGAAAGAAGAGAGTCTCTTCCGCGTCTTCCTCCAGCTCCTCTCTACTCTCTGTCCAACAGGACGACTGTCAACTGAAGCGGGAAAACAGCAGCGACGTGTCGTTGAGAAGCGGCAACACGTACGTCGTACAGGAAGCATCCAGATAC